GCCGGAGTCTGCATCTCGCTGAGACCCGGGCGGCGCCCGACCGCCGCCAGCCACTGGCAAAACAAGCCGGGTTTTTAACACATGCCCGAGCAAGCAGGCAGAGAGCACGTTGAGAAGTGCCACTGAGCCACAGGCGAGGATTTCCTAGGCTGGCCCAGCCGTGCCGTTGGGATGAAGTTTTGGCATGTAAGCCATTCTTCGGGCCAGTCTCCCTCTCCCCGAGACCTCGGGAAGAATGTCTTACCCCGTCTAACTTCATCCCAACTACGGAGTTGGGCCGATACAAGCTCTCACCCGAGGAAATCCTTGCCTCTCCCTTCATTTCTCGACCATCAAGGCTACAACATCCCTTGTACCATACTTCATGAGGACATAGACGGTCACACAGATTAGCCTAAATGAAGCTTCGCAGCTTGCTGAGATTTCTGCTAGGAGTCAGCTAACCCAGCCTTCCTCTCCGAGGGACAGAGGCAGCCAGGAAGATTTCACACCCATTTCACATGAAATGAAGGTGATCACCTTGAATCTGTGCAAAGGCAGATCGGCTCCGCTCAGTCATTGCTGTCCATTCAGCACCAGCGCCTTGAACCACCCCTGGTGCAGCAATACATTTCTTTCACTCATTAAGTGGCCAATAATTATGAAGCTTTAGCCCTCTTCTCTCTCTCTCTCTCGCTGGCACACACACACACACACACACACACACACAAGGACACATATCCCTGCCCCATTAACTTAAAATACAAATATAGTCCAATCATCAATGGACAGTTAGCAAACTTTTTTTTTGCATTATAAGTATAGCAACATATATATATATATATGTTATATATAATGCAAAAAAAAGTTTGCTGACTGTCCATTGATCATTGGACTACACTTGTATTTTAAATTAATGGGGCAACAACGTGTATAGAGATCTCTCTCTCTCTCACTGTATATATCTATATATGCATATATGTATATTTACTATATATACATATATATATAATGTATAATAGTGTGTGTGTGTGTGTGTGTGAAAACAGAAATGTCGAACATGGGGTTCTATACCTGTCTGTATTTCATTGCCACAGCTCATTTATTTGTTATGTGGGTTTCATCCCGACTGTCAATTATTATATGCCCATATAATATGTAACAATATGGAGTAAGGGATTTATTTCCACAGCACTGAAAAAGATAGACACAGACCTTCCATATGATTTGGCAATTCCAGCAGAAAAAGAAAGTGCTTGTCATTTCTGATGAGTTCAAAGGCTGAAGTATCTTGCTAGTCAAAAGTAAAAACATTAAAAAGAAAGTAAAAAAGCTATTACTCTTCTTCAATTTGAGAATGTTAAGCTATACTTGTGTGACAAGACTTTTTTTGGAGGGGGTATGTACTTATTAAAGATACAGCTCAGTATTTAGTTATTACCATTAGAGGTTATACTACCCTGCTAAAAGTTCTAAATAAAAGAAGAAACAAGCAATAGTAATCCCTCTCAAACCTCAATATGTATTCCTACAAATCTGTGTGTATTAGATCAAATCATGGGTGATCAGTAGAACACAGGGGCACAAGTCTCTAACACTGAACCAAAAATACTACATTAGAAATATAGGCTCTTGCCCCCAATGGAAGCTGTATAACTGAAGGAGCTGCATCGCATTTCACTGGTAGGTTACCTTTGAATCACAGCTGTGAGGAGTAGACCAGAAATGAAGCAGATACAAGGCAAGATTTAGGACACAAGAATATAAAACCAGGGGTCTATTAAGGTCTCTGTGTGGGTTTTACATATTAATATTTGAGGATTAAGAAATCATTACAATAAATGAAATAATAGAATCAATGAAATCATACAATTGAAGTACCTTACATGAGGGAAAATATACTGCTCTTGAAACAAGAGATAAAGACATTTCTATTTTCAATGGGTGTGTGAGCATGGAGGGAGAACAATAAGACCATGAGGAAACCAAACCATATTTAATCTGCTCTCTGCTTCCATAAATTCTGAGTTTAATGCAAGTCAAATGACATTTTAGTACTGGTGACTTTGCTTCCACTAAATCCATCCAAGTGAAAATCCTATTATTATTTCTGCTAATGACATACAGCCTTTTTTTTTTTCTTTGGAGGTATTTCTACCTCCATCCTGT